CACTTAAGCTTCCAGGCGCATCTTTTGAATGTGTTGTGCAGGTTTCCTTTGAGGATGAGGACTGAGAGGTCAGATACAGAGTGATTGCTTTGTGAGTAAAGTGTTCACCCACAGGTGAGATGGTGTTCTTGTTTTTTATCATTTTTCTGTGATAGTTCATCTGAGAGCGCGGTGATTGGTTTCACCCACATAATTGTTTTGGGGGTATTTAGTGCACTGAGTGAAGTACATCACATCTTGTGATTAGGTATATGTAGGATAGGTTTTGACAGGTGCGTTGTGGGGGGTGCTGATCATCGTAGCAGTGGAGATATCTACACATTTTGCATCTGTTGTTCTGGCAGGGCCTGGTGCTGCTAGGGTGACCAGACTGCAAGTGTGAAAAAGCGGGACGGGGGCAATCTGTAGCTCAAAGTAGCATTCTGGAACCCCACTGTGACACGATCAGGATATATTTGGTACAAAGTATGCCTTGTGAGGTATTATTTTAAAAGTCTTGACCTGTTGAACCTTAATCCTTAACCTTATCCTATTGATTTGTATGTGCCATCATTGTATGTGATGTTATGAAGTATTGCTGTATGTGTTACTGAAATATGTTGTGAGGTTGGAAGATGCCCCCAGCTGGCCTTTCAGTAGGGACAAAGGAGTAGCTATCACTGGCAAGACAGGTGGTGATGGCCCATCAAGAATAACCCACTCTCCCAGAGGCCTCTCAGAGACAGCACATACGCCATGAGGGCAGCCTAACCCACATCACAGCAAGGATCTTTCTAGCAGCTGGAAGAAAGTATAAAAGAGGGACAGTGACATCATCACTTAGCCTCCCCCCCACCACACACACACGCACATCTCAACACCTGGAAGAGCATCTGGAAGACAAAGACTTTGAACTGGGGAGATTGGTTCCAGGCTGGAAGGAAGTTCAGTCTGTGTATTAGGAACTGTGAACTGCCTGTAACGTCTGTTAGGGTGAGACACTGCTTAATTCAAATATTAATTAGTGTGCTAAAGTTAGTGTTTAGACTGCAAATTTATTTGTATTTCTTAGGTAACCAACTTTGATCTCTATGCCTGCTATTTATAGTCACTTAAAATCTATCTTTCTGTAGTTAATTAATCTGTTTTATGGCTCATAAAATGGTGTGCTGAAGATTACAAAGGCTGGTGCATGTCCACATTCCTTTGAAGAAGTGGCGAACTAACTAATGAGCTTGCACTGTCCAAGGGAGTCTTGAGCAGCATAAGACGATATATTTCTGGGGTGCAAGGCTGGAATTTGGGGGGGATTAGCTGGTGCCTCTCTCTGTATGATTCATGAGTAACTCAAGGAGTATTCATGCAATTTAGCTGGTGTGGGGCTCCACATGCTGATGGCTGAGTGATCGCAGCGCCTCTAGGGGTTTGCTGCTCATCACTGGCATAGCACTGAGAGAGGCTGGAGAGTTAAGGACGCACAGTGTTGCAACAGTTCCAGGTTGTGCCCCTAATATCGGGATATCTGGTCAACCCAGGTGCTGCTCTGAGATGGTGTGTCCTGGCCTGTAAGGAACTTGCTTCTGATAATGACCTTGAAATTGCCTGGGGGAGGAGGGTTGTCTGAAAGCCAGAAGAGGGGGTTCTCATCAAGCATGGGTTATAGATGTTTGATGCTACCCTATATGGGTTCCAGTGTGGGGTAGTAGGTGTTAACTAGAGGTGTGTGGTCAGAGGCGGTTTATTTCTGTATTGAAGCAGGTTCTCCCAGGGTATTTGGGTGGCCTGTTCCATGATGCGATCTACTTCTCTGGTAGAGAGTCCTTGTTAGGCGAAGGTGGTTTTAAGTGTGTTACGGGATATATCCCGGACTTTCTCCTCAGAGTATACTCTGTGTTATCCGAGTGCCTGGCTATAGTTAACAGATTTCTTGCTGCATTTGGGGTGGTTACTGGATCTGGGAAGGTAGGTGTGGTGATCCATGGGTTTCTTGTATATAGTTGTCTGTAAGGTTCCATTGTTGGAGCTGATCATGGTGTCCAGGAAGTTGAGCTACTGTGGAAGTGTTGTAGTGAGAGTTTAATGGATGGGTGGGTGGTCATAGAAGACGCGGTGGAAATCTATGAGGGAGTGTAGGTCGTCCGTCCAGAGGATGAAAATATAATTGACGTATCTCAGGTATATCATTGGTTTCATGGTGCATTTGCCCAGAAATAATTCTTCAAGGTGGCCCACAAAGAGGTTGGCATATTGGGGAGCCATCCTAGTACCAATGGCTGTTCCCATAGTTTCAATGAAGTGTTTGTTGCTGAATATAAAAGCGTTATGGGTGAGGATGAAATGGATGAGTTTGGCAATAGGTTTGGGGTGCATATCTGAGGATTGTTCATTATCTTGTAAATATCTGAGGCAGACTGCAATGTCATCCATTGTGAGGGAGGTTAGTGTACAGGGAAGTGACATCCATGGTTTTACGAGATTCGCAGTTTCTGGCGGAAGTCAGCTGTAACCCTGGAGGAAGCTGGTCCTTTGTGTGGTGAGCGGTGTGAGGATGGTTTCGAAGTCCCGATATTCCTTCAGTAAGAGTGCCATGGCATTTTTTCCTCTCCCCCACCGCCATGACTGGAGGGATGTTAACAAACCACTTCACCTTGAAAGGTCCCTTGAAATGCGTGTGAACTGATTATGCTAAACAATCTGTTTCACTTTGTATTTAGCTGTGCCACTAGGGCAGAAGAAGAGCTCTGTGTGGCTCGAAAGCTTGTCGCTCTCACCAACAAAAGTTGATTCAATAAAAGATATTTCCTCACCAACCTCATCTAAAGTTAGGCACCTAAATTCATATTTATGGACTTAAGAGGCCTGATTTTCAGAGATAATGGCAGCCCCAACTTCCCCTTATGACAATGGGCGCCAAAGGAGCTTAGCACTTCTGAAAAATCAGCTCACTTTTAATTAGTGCCTAAATATATATTTAGATGGTTTCAGCAGCCATTTGTTTTAATTTCTGGTTGAGATTATGGCTGTGTTAAGATATCACACTTTTATAGTGGAGATTGTGGTTATCGGAGTATTTGCTTGCATTGCAAAAGCAGAATTAGTTTAACCACAATCCTGCAAAACAAAGCAGGTTCTGGAAACCTTGTTGTTTTGGTTTTTAAGTTACAACTGTACTTACCTGAGAGAGATTCTTATTACTAAAAAACAACTAAAATTACAATGCTTAGATTTAGCAGTGTCATGGGCAATGACGTATCTAGCTAATCAAAATAAGAATACCCTTTTCCCAATCTGCTGTGAAGCTAATGTAAAAGTCACGCAAAATGCCAAACAGGATTTAAACTGCTGTTGTGTTAAACTGAACCAAGACAGACAGCTAAATTTAGAGCACAACTCCGGCTGTAAATGCCATAGGTTCAGAGATGAAAAAACACATTTGGAAGACAGTGCTGGCCACCACTCTATGTTCCAAATGTTTTATTTTGTTAAAATTCAAGGATCAAGGGACACGAGAAAAGGAGCCAAGTGTATTATGAACAGCAGAGAGGGCTACTAGCCTAGATGCCCGAGTCAGCAACATTGACCATCTTTCATTTCTTCAGCCTGGTCTCTGAAAGCACAATCTGCTGGGCTGTCATCTCTGTGCATGGAAATTTGTCCCATTTATCCAAGTAGCTCTCCTGAACCAAATTGCTCGTCAGCAATGAAATTTTTATGCATCAGATTTTTATTTCAAGTCTACAGCAGAAAAGGCAGCCTGGACTGACACAGAAATTCAAAAATGTTCAGATTATAAAAAAACTCAACACAGATTGGATTAACCAAAATCTGTCACTGGTTTATTTTCTCCAGCAATTTCTCTTTGTTTTACAGCCATGTTACTTCAGCACATCATTTTATGAGCCATCTTTCCTTATTCCCAGAAAGTGTTCACTGGAGTAGTAAGGTGTGCCAGGTACCTCAAACTGACCATCCCCAAAAGGGAATGAATGGTTATATTATATACACCGGGTGAATAACTGCTCCTAGCAAGCTTTCCAAAAGATTGCGTCCCCAGTTAATTGGCTCATACCCTACAAGCACGTGCGAGGAGAACAGGAAAGAAAAAAAACGGATCTTGTGTAAAATTTCAGAAAGTACCAAGCTGCCCATTTTCAAAAGTGATTTGGGCACTTTGGAGCCTAAGTCACTTATCAAAATTTTACCCCCCATGCTTGGTCTATTCCCCTTTTAAGAACTGTGAACTTGTGAAATGTAGCCTCTCACCTGAGGTGTCTTATGGTAAAACCTTATGGAGGGTGTGTATTTCAGGGCTCTTACAAAGATGCTGTCCATAAATTACCATAAACCTTGGGATTGTAATGTCTAATTCTGGGGGTCTGTGCGTCTTACAATTTAGGAGTGAATTTCCAAAAAAATGAGGAAATAGCAATAACTTGAGCCATTTCAACCCCTCACCCCCAGCAGTTCTGTGGGATGCCGATCTCAATGCTGATCCGTAACACCATGTGTTATTCATGACACGAAGCCTCACGTGGCTCTGCTCGCGGATCTCACTCTTGGCTTGCATCCCCCACTACTATTCCACTCCTACATCTCAAGTGAGCTGATATTGCCAATTATGTGGTAGTTTTGCAATATGATTCAGTGGCTAGGAAGACCCACATTTTCACTTGTGAACTGAGACAGCATTTGTGTAACAGTAATAAATACTTTAATTTATCAGCACCCAGCACCCCGGAAGGCTGTAAAGCACCTTAACAAAACCGCCTACAGTCAACATTCAGAACCCAGGTCTCAGAAAATAAAAAGCTAGTGCATTAATCCTTAGTGCCATGATGTTCTCAGGCATGAACATTTTTATCTTGTTTTCATGAACAGGCCCTGCATCCCATGAGTGATTTACACTTGATTTTAAACCAGAGGTGAGTTGCCAATTGTCTTATGCCATATTTGGATTCAGATTACACCTTACAAAACCCTAGTTACATATCTACCCCATCCCCAGCTGATTTCTTTCGCACCTGGTGAACACAGCCTTCTCGTTCTTAGCATCCATGGTGAGTTTGATGGTTTCCTGGCCTGAGCCTGTACTGATGGTTTCTGTGACGATATCAGCTTTATCCTCCTCTTCCTCACTGTCTGAGCCTCCAGATGAGCTGCTGTCTGAAGCCACCAGAGGTGCCTTCCTTGCCACACAGACATTCCAAACGCAGGGTGAGGCAGCGCTGACTGCAAAGAAAGAGTAAATAATTAGCATGAAAAAAAATGAACAGAAACACAGGACGAACTGCTAAAACTCTCAAATATATCCCAAATACTTTCAGTAAAATAGAATGGTTACTTAATCTATAGCACCTGTGGTTCTTTGAAACGTTGTCAGTATGGATCCCACCATAGGCAGGTATGTGCCTCACATATGTGAGGTGGCTTGTTTTTTTTAATTATAGCATCCATCGGGGCTGCACATAGACCCTGTGCTTCCTTGTGCCCCCGTGCAAGGACATAAAGGCTGGAGCAGCCACAACCCTCCTTCGGGTCCCTCACAATTCAAAGCCCGTGTAGCTGAGGTCTCCCAAAGCGGGGATGGAGGACGAGTTGTGGGATCCACACTGACATCAGCATCTCAAAGAAACACAATTTCTGTAAAGTAAGTAACCGTTCTCTCTTCTTCAAGTATGCATCTCTGTGGAACTCTCTTTGGTGACTGGCAAGCGGTATCCCCTAGGAATGGTGGCAATGAGGAGTTACAGCTGCACCAGTGATGCAGAGATTGTAGTACTGATCTCTCGAACATGGCATCTGCTCTAGCAACTAAGTCCAATGCATTATGCTTGACAAAAGTCAATGGGCACATTTGTGAAGCAAGCAGAAGATGTTATTGGAGCTCTGGTGGAATAAATCTGATGTTCAGTGGGAGAGGTACACCAGCTAGCTACACTGTGTTAAGCATTCTGATACCCTCTGTGAGGAGGTGACTTGACCATTAGAATTTCCAGCTGCCACTCTAGACACATTGGGAGATAGTGTGAATGATTTGATCCTGTCAATGTAACAAAGCATAGTCCTGGATACATCTAGTGTGTGTCATTTCCTTCTTCCATGTGCCAAGTGTGGTTCTGGGAAGAAGATGGGCAGGATGATTGACAGGTTTAGATGAAATTCTGAGCCCACCCTAGGAATGAACTTGGTGCAGCTGCAGCACCACCATGACGCTATGGAATGTTGCATTGAGAGGGGGGAAGGGTTCGGCCAGAAGTGTCTGAAACTCAGTCACTCTCCTGGCCAGAGTAACAGAGACTGCGTTCAGAGCGAGGTGCTGCAGGGCACAGGCTGACAGAGGTTCAAATGGAGGCTCCATGAGTCACAGGACTAGACTGAGGTCTCAGGAGAGGTAGGTTCTCTGACTTTTGGCAAATGCATAATGACCCTTTGAGAAACTCTGATATCATGGGGTGAGAGAAGAGCAACCCTGACCATACAGGTAAACTGAATCACCACAAGGTGGGCTTTAATAAAGCTAACCGCCAGTCTGGCCAGTCTGAAGTGCAATAAGAAGCTGATGATACGTAATATCAAGGGGGCTGGACAGGGTCCAGACTATGTTGGGCAGCGCATTCTGAAAAACCTTTTTCATTGATGTGAATGTGTGTTCTTCTGGTACATGCTTTACTGCTCTATATTACGATTTCCTGGACCTGTAGGAAGCAGACTCTGTCCATTGTACTCAACCAGCCAGCAGCCATGACATCAGGTGCAGTGACTTCAGGTCTGGATGGAGTATCTGACCATGATGTTATGAGAACAGGTCTGGACAGGGTGGGAGCTGAATGAAAGGCCAGATACATATTTGCAGCAGGCCATCAGCCGAAACAGTCTTGGCCAATACGAAGCCACAAGAACAGTTGGAAGGTGCCTGAGTAGCGGTTGTGGTGGGTCGGAGGCAGCACTGGGAGCGTCCTAGCCCCTGGGTGGCGGCTCCCCGCGTGCCCAGCCTGGCAGTGCACCATGTCAGTCAGTGATATGTTCATCACCTTGCAGGAGGTCCTCACCGCCAACCGGGACATCCGAGAGGAAATCAGCAAAGTGGTTCAGACCCTGGAACAGATGGCTTGGGAGATCTTAATGCTGCTGCAGGGGGTTCACCAGGGAGCTGGATTTCAGGACATATCAAACAAGTGTCAGAAGGCTCGAGAACACTTTGGTGCATTCAAAACACAGCTAGCATCTCTGAAGACCAAGTTTCCAGCTGATCAATACTACAGATTTCACGAACACTGGAGGTTTATGCTACAGCGCTTGGTGTTTCTGGCAGCATTTGTTGTCTACTTGGAGACAGAAACATTAGTGACTCGAGAAGCGGTTACAGAAATACTTGGAATTGAGGCTGATCGAGAGAGAGGTTTTCACCTGGACATTGAAGACTACCTCTCTGGGATTCTGACTCTCGCCAGTGAGTTGTCTAGGTTGGCAGTGAACAGTGTCATCGCAGGTGACTATTCTCGTCCTCTTCGCATCTCCACCTTCACTAACTAGCTGGATTCTGGCTTCCGTCTCCTCAATCTGAAAAATGACTCCTTGAGGAAGCGCTACGACGGCTTGAAGTACAACGTCAAGAAAACTGAGGAAGTGGTTTATGACTCGTCAATCCGAGGACTCAATAAGGAGGCAGCGAGTGATGCTGGGGGAGAGAAACAGAAGCTGCTGTTCTAGCAGCATCATGGATTACCTCAGATGGTTGCCAGTGAGAGAGGTGTGTTAGCAAAGCCCT